TCTTTTTAAAACCAAAATTAGAACGTAAAATAATTGATTGAAAGAGGCTTATTGTTAAAGCCTGCTATAATAAAATTAGTCAATGAAATAATAACTAATATTAAAATTCTTCAAATATAAACAAATATCGTAATTAAATTAAAATTTATAATTAGGGAATAATATAATACTTTGCTAACGTATAGGAGTAATTGGGAGGATCTTATAAAATTACAGCTATCCTATTGCCTTTATATGAAACTACAAATATGGTATGTGGGGAGTAGTGTTGTTAAAAAGCCTAATTCAGGTCGCTTGAAAAAAATGCCCCAATTAAGATAATAACTAAAATAACACTATGTAAGCCTGAAGATTTTACTCATAACTGACAGAACTGCTTGGACATCTATTTACTAAAATCTCGATGCTCACATAATAATATTTTAGCTAAAATCTTAATCGGCCCGTTGAAAAATCGTTCCCAAATCGGGCTTTTTAACGTGGGGAGGATATATTACTTATAATATGGCTATTATACCTTATTACATTTTAATTTTTGAGCACTTAAAAACAAATGGAAAACCTGATTTCCATAAATCCCTTAACAATTGTTTTAAAGCAGTATATGATAAAAATTGTTGAGCTATTGCAATTTAACTACCTGATGTTGCAATAACCACAATATTAGATCACATACTTTAAGTAGAATATTTTAAACCAATATCTGCTGATTACGATATTGATATCTCAAGTTAACAGACAAATTTAAAGATCTTTATACCAGATATAAAGGTACTTACCCCATTTAAATAAATAAGATTTTATTTTATAATCATAACTGTCAAACAAATAAGAATGAAATTCAATAAAACAGACTAGTCATTTGTTTTTAAAAATAATATTCAAATGTATAAAAAAGATTTTTTTTTAACTGAGTGAACCAAGAGCAAAGTACTGACACGTTAATGTGGTGAAAAGTAAATGCATATCTTCCCATACTTTCGAAAATGGCGAGGAATTACCTATCTATATAAGAAACATCAACTGCTTGTGAAAGGCTTTTCTCAGTTGGGAAACGATTGTCATTTAAGGAAGAAAATATAAGAAAAAACTCTTTGCCTTATGAATTGGCTTAGAATTATAAATTAAACTAATAATATACATTTAAATTTTGTTTATGTTGCATTTATTTTAAAATAATATATTTATTTAATTAACAACAAAAAAAAGTTAATATACCGATTTAAAAAGATATACATATTTATATATTAGCTTTGTGGTATAAATGTTTATTTTACTGTTCTGCGGTTATATACTATATAGATAATTATTTTTCTTGTTATATAAACAAACGTAAAATTATATCTGTTGAGATATATTATTATTCACTCTACTTTCTGTTACTTTAAACGAATAATAAAATACTACTGATATTCTTAATTCTGAGCTAAAATCCCTACAGTTTATAACTTTGATTACATATTTTCCTCATCATCAGATTATTATAATGATTTTTTTTTCTGTTTGAAATCAAATTTTCAAAAAAAAAAAAAATTTGTCAATATATTTGAGTATGAATTATTTCATTACGAAAATTCTTTCCTATTATTCGAATCGAGTACAAATAGTATATTTTTTTGTTCGTATGAATACGAATAGTAAATTATTCGATTCGTTTAGACGAATACGGATAATTAATATTCGATTCAAATTCGTTTCTGAATAGGCCTAAAATGTATATCTAATAAATTTTAAGAAATATTTCAATTTTACGTTTAAAATGTTAGAATGAAATGGATATGATTAGACAGGACTTAAGCTGAAGAATGAAGCAAAAAATATCAGTTTCGTTTTCTAATTTAACGATAAATTTAGATTTTTGAATTTAATTCCTAATTTTTCGAAGAAAAAAAGAATAACAGATTTTGAATATTTGTTTCTATTAAGTGAAATAAAATGGAGGTCAAAAAAATAAAAATTTTACCTTAACAAATATTTAAAAAAATATCCCTTTAAACGCAACGAAATTGATTTTGTATTAATATTCTAACAAACTGGATAGAAAATCCTTTTTAAATTTTTTTTTATTAATATTCAAAAAAAAAATGACAATTTTTGGTTTCAAATTTCCCAGTCATACCTCGAAAGCACATTAACCTAAGTTGTTTTTTCGCTGCAATATATTAGGCCTTATTTTAGAACGTTGTATAAAAGGAACCATTTTTTTAATATCTATTTCGACTTTTTGTCATATTTTTAAAAAATATATGAAGGAAGGATGGGAGACAATTGATATTTTCCTTATCGATCCAAGATTTAAAAATTCTTGCCTAGAAAATCCCGACAGATTTTTTAAAAAATATATTTTTTTATTCATTAAGCCACTATTTGTGTCCTATAAGTATAGTTTACTAATTTAAATATTATTTATATTATTATATAGATTATCATAAGGATGATTCTGAATTGACATCACCATGACCCAAATATAATAAATAACAGCTAACATCCTATATTCAAGGAATTAATTTTATCCTCAACCAAAACTCGGTCTTAAACCTATTCCACACAATTTAAAAAATTACTATCATATTTTCTTGTTTATAAAAAATATTAAATTATTATATTTTTTTGTTTAAAAAATATTACAATTTTTAGTTCTCAGAACGTTTCGACCAATGATATATGTATATTATAATATATTAACCTAGATTGACAATTCTCTATCATTTAAGTGTGCAGACATAGTAATCAGCAGAGGTCATTTTCAAGGTGTAGACGCTGACTAAATGATATTAGAATGATACTAGGCGTTTAAAATTATTTATTTTTTTAAAAACTAAAACATAATTTTCATTTAGTCAAAACTTTCAGATTTCAAACAATATATATATATAATGGTGGTATCTATAGCTGCTTTCTATGAATGTGCTTATTTTTAATACACTTTTTAATGGATCATGAATCTAGATTAGAATTTAATATCATATTCAAGGTATATGATTTTAAATACTACTAGGAACAAATTTTGATCTTTTCTTGAAAAAATTATCAAAAATGCTAAAACCATCGCTGTTAGTGCTCTTGCATTCTGTAATTTTTTCAAAAAGGGTTGGTAAACAATGTATAACATCATCCACATCAAATCTTTGTTCTAAAAATAACCTTATAATCATATATTTTACAAATTCATTTGGATTTAACGAATATTTATTATTTGTAGTTAGCATGAATTTCTTTTAAGGAGGGCCCAAACATAGATAGCGGTAGGGGTGGGGTATTTGTCAAATTCCTGAGAAAATTTATAGACTGACTATAAGAGTTTTCACTGATAATTTTTACTTAATCCTTTGCCGAGGGTAAGTAGCTTTTGAACTGAACACGGTTTCTTCTAAAGTATTTGGTGGAATTGCATTTTTTTTAAATTTTCTTTTACTTTTTACGCTGTTTAGTCAAAGCTAAATAGCCGGCTGTTCAATAATAGGTCGTACTAGGACACACTCTTTTTGAGCCCCAAACATCTGTGTTCGATTCTTACATAAAAGGTATGATCTACGACAGAATGCGGGCTGTGGTAGGTCTAATGTAGAGATCAGGTAGTTTGGCTCACCGTTCAAAGAACCTCGATTTTAAAAAATTCTTTAGTGTCAGCTGTAAAGAAATTGGTTTGGTTTTAAAAACTAATAAGAGCAAGTAATTTTTTTACACGGCACGGGTTATAATACTAATTTAAACCAACCGCCCCCCCCCCAAGATTTATTTAGAAATAATCACTTCATAATAGCGTTAGTTTGGTAGGGAGAGAAGCCCCCCCCCTGGGCACGCTGTTTAAATACATATCTATTTGACAGATGGCATAACGTTCTTCTATAATACGAATTTTATTAATGACATTGATTGAAGAATGATCACTTTTAAGGACTAGCCATTATAACGAACCACCAATTTTTATTTAAAAAATTTCTCGATTGGTTTTATTTTTCAAATTTAGCAAACATGTGATACTTTAAATTTTCTACCCTATGGATCCCTTGAAATACATATATTTTGCATCCTAAAGTCTTAACGATTCGTCACTTATAATTAAATAACAAGTTAAAAAATACATTTTTATCCAAAAAAATAGAAAATGTTTCCTTACATGTTTAGGAGATATTGGTATTGATTAATCATAATGATATTATCAATCTTATAACTTCTAGCAAATTTTAGAATGAAGGATATAACTCCAGATAATGAAATCAGAGTATACACATGGGAGAGAATCAAAGGCAACATCCTTAAGATTTACCCTTCATTTTTACTCCTTACCCCTGTAAACCCTTTAACTCACTCAAAGATAACGAGGTTAAGCGCTTGGTAATTCGTGTCTAAATAGCATAGTAGTAAAAGTTATATGCTACTTTCGCGGCGGCTATAAACGAGGACTTAATCCTATTTAAAAAATCATCTAGTTCATGAAATCCATTTTTAATACCAGATTATCGTTAATTATGTAGCTACATTAAGACGCCACATAATTGAAAAACATTCTCCTGAAATAAGTATCAGGGCCGCACCGATTTTTGAGCAATACCAATATCGTTCCTCTATACCTTAAAGTATCGGCCGACACTTCTTTATCGCGAAGGAAAGATCCATATAAACGTGGTTGGTGCCTTTATTTGTTCCAAAATCTTATTAAAGGGGGCATGGTGCATGTATTACGTCTTTGGTTTGGCACTGTCATGTCCCAGCTTGGGATGTGTCCTGTCCCAGGAAAAAAGGATGGGATTATGGTTTGACCAGCTCCATTCCTCGCGGATGTCAAATTTATTGATTCAGTTAGAAAGAAAAACGAAAACTAATGTAGACAATAAAACAAATTAAATATTTTTTTAAAAAAATGCGCTATAACTTTATTTAAAATTTTAATTAATACATTATAAATTTTTTTTTATTTATTAAGCAAACATAATTTTTTATTTCATTCATAATTGATTCGTAAATGAATTATGCTTCGATTGGCTATGTATTTCAATTTGGACTTTATTTTTTTTAGTAGCGATTATCATAATATGAATTAGAAGAAAAAAATAATATATTTGGTTTATAAATGATTATTATTATATAATTAATTATCAATAATCGAAAATCAATATCCCTAAATTCAAAAATAAATATTTTATAATTATCTAATTTCTAGATTTCGACTGATTTTTTTATTAATTAATTCGTTTGAATACAAAAGCGGGCCACCGAGTTGTTGCAAAAATTACTCTTTAAAATTAAATGAATCCGGGAACAGCATAAATGCTTTTCTAATAATTATAAAATTGAATCACGGCGCTGAACTGAAAGAATCGAGGATTTGTGATCTGATTTAAGAAGAAATCATCTTAATCACTTAGATCTATGTAAGGCATAACGAGAAGTTTTTCGTCTTCGACAGATGGTATCATGTGAGGTTCTTTGTAATCTCGAAGAATCTGTGGTTCATCAACGTCCATCGAATGATCATTATAATGATCGAAAAGAGATTCAAGGAGCGTTTCGTTTTTATTCATGTCACGTTGAATGATCGATTTTAAAGATTGGTCATTGTCGTTCGAGTAATCGGGGGGAGCCGCTGTACCAAATAATCCATTGTAAAAATCGACGAACTCTTGGCCGGGGCTTCGTGGAATAGGGATAACATGGGGTTGTATAACCACTGCTGCATCTGACACAACAGTTTCTTCGGCTAAGATTTTTTCGGACTCGAAGGTTTTCATATTCCTTAAATGATCGTGAACAGAATCAGTCTCTATTCTTTGAACCATAAAAGAATGTTGCGTATGGGGCGAAGTCGACGATTGCGTGAAGGGGTCATTTGTGGTGACGATAGTGATAGGTGAAGTAGTCTTAGACAGATTTGTGGTTGAGCAATTATATTTTTTGTCGTAAGAATAGTTCTCGTTAATACCTTTATCAAGGAAATCGACATCGGGTAACGGTTTAATTTTTTTATGTCTGCCTCGTTTCTTTTTGTGAACGACGGGCTGGGAATTTCCGATTGTATAATCGAGTTTCCCGTCTTTCGTAAACGATTGAATTGCGGTGTGCGCTTTGACGGTATTTAATCGGTTATCGAGTGAGTTATTATAATATCCACCGGATACCTTGATAATTAGATTTGACAAAAAAATATATATAATTATTCAATAATAGTGTTTCCAAATTGCGATATTTTAAGTTTGAAGCAGGAAATTCACAAAACTTAAATTTAAAAAAAAAATTAAACTTTTAGTCTTAATTAGCTTAGCCTTAGATTTCGGCTTTAAAATTGTAAAAATTGAAAAATTTTCAATAAAATTCTGGAAAATATAATGTAAAAACTCAAATGTAAATGCAAAATAAAAGTTTCAACAATTTACGCAATATCATTTTTAAAATGTATTATTGAGTAGCGTTATTAAACGACCCGATTTAGGTCGTTTTAAAAAAAAATGCATGATTAAGATTTTATCCAAAATAATTTATACCGTGTAAACCTAAAAAAAATTCATAAATGGCAGTGAACCTCTATTTGCCAAATCACGAGGCTTACATAATATTATTTTGGCATTCTTTTAATATGGCGGTTTTTTAAAGACTCAAACCGGGCCGTTTAACAAGGCTAATTATATGACAATTTGAACGCAGCACTCAATTCAACTAAAAAATATGCCAAGTCAAGCTCAGAGCAAAAAAAAAGTAAATTTTATTGATAATTTTCATTTTTTTTTGAAAATAATAAAAAGAAAAAAAGGCTAAATTCTTTAAAAACAAAAAAAAATTTTTTGGTTTCCAGGGAAGAAAACGGGGTAAATTGCAATGATTTTAGCAGAGTTGTTAAAGTATCTAGATACAAGTATCTAGATCCTGTATCTAGATATAAAAATGTGGTATCTGTATCTGTATCTAGATAGATTTTTGATTAAATAATCTGTATATAGATATTATTTTAGACGTTATATCTGTATCTAGATCCATGTAAAAAGTATCTTTTAACAACTCTGGATTTTAGTATCAATAATTATTTATTTTATTGTAATGGTGTTAAAACCCTCAATTTTGCCGATTAAAAAAACATTTTGACCAAACAATTACTAGCTAAGCATAGACAATATACCAACTGATGAGAGGGTAGACTTTATTTTTGGCAAAATATAAATGCTCGGGTAATATTCGATAGGACTAAAACTTGATTTTACCTTAAAAATTGACTAAATAGATTTTAAATAAAGAAGTGTGACTTAAGTTAGAGATCTGCATCGGGTCAAAAGATCATTAAGACCGGTTCAAAATTTAAAGAAAATTTTTTTTGTCATAGCCCGAACCAAAATTATTTTCAAAAATTACAAAGTAAGGATCTCAGGGTGCATTGGGCCTTGCAGATCACTAAATTAAATCATGTTTAAAAAAAATCACATTTAGATATCTTGAAAATCATTATTATCATATTGATTCTATTCTAATATATCTCCGAGGTGGCCTAGTGGGTTATGATGTATGCATGGAAATACAAGGTCCCAGGTTCGATCTTGGTAAGGAACGTAAAATTTTTTGGGTTTTTCTTCGATTACTGATGTGTAAGACATATAGTAAGATGAATTTCGGAACTTAGAGATGACACCCCAGTCACTGACAGGCTTGGACTGCCGGGTGCTAAGGATACATGTCCAATAAACAAAAATGAAGGACACAAATGAAAATATGAAAGCTAGGGCGTTCCCTCCAAGCGACGCGCAGGGTGTAGACATCCATCCTGCGAAAAGTAAAATAAAGGTCAAAGCAAAGAAGACAAGGTTAGCATGTTTGAATATTGGTACACTTAAAGGTAAGACTAGAGAATTGGAATCAATGTTGAACAAGAGAAAAGTTGATATAGCGTGCATACAAGAGACGAAATGGAAAGGTCAGAAGACTTTAATGATTGGAGATGGGTATAAATTGTACTATAATGGAATTATTAGCAATAAGAATGGTGTCGGCATCATCCTCAGTCAAGATCTCCTCAGTAGTAGAAGTCAATAGGATCTCTGATAGACTAATGAAGATAAAACTCTGCATTGGTCAATCAATACTACACATCCTTTCAGCATATTCTCCTCAAACGGGTTGCAAAGAAGGGGGGAAAGATGACTTTAGAGCTATCTTTGATGAAGCTGTAATGGAAAACCCTAATAGGTGGTAACTTAAATGTGCATGTGGGAAAAGCAAGAGATAGCTAAAAAAAGGCATCATGGTGGTTTTAGATATGAAGAAAGAAATGATGAAGGTGAGCATGTACAGAAATTTGTGCAAGCCTTCGACCTTGCCTTAACCAACACCTACTAGAAGAAGAAGGACATTCATTTAATAACATATAATAGTGGTACAAGGAAAACCCAGATAGATTACATGCTTATCTCTCACAGAAGATTAAAAGATGTAATAGACTGCAACGTCATCCCAGGAGAAGATATAGCTGCACAACACAAGCTACTTATCATGGATTTACACATCACAAATAAATCCACTCAAAACAAGATAAAACTTGAACAATGCATCAAATGGGGTAGATTAAAATCAATGACATATGCCTTTGCAATCAATTCAAACATTGAAACAATAGATTCCTCACAAGTCAGTGAAAAAATGTGGGCAGACCTTTCATCCAGATTAATAGACACTGCCAAATCGACCTAAAGCTTGAAAAGGGGAGGCAACAAATCATAGAAAGAACTATGGTGGTAGAATGAAGAGGTACAAACCACTATAAAGGAGAAAAAAGTCCTATATAAAATATGGTACAAATCCAAAAACCCAGATGACAAGACAAATTATAAAAAATCCAAGAGAATAGCTACAAAGGTGGTAGCTAGGGCCAAAACTATGACATACAATGACATGTATGAAGAACTACATACCAAAGATGGGCAAATAATAATATACAGATTAGCCAAACAGCGAGAAAAGAATTCTAGAGATATTAACGGAGCTCCGAAAGTAATCAAAAATAAAGATAGGAAATTGATAATAAAAGAAGAAGAAAATAATGAATAGATGGAAAGAATATTTTCAGGAGCTTCTCAACTATAATCCCCACATACTACATCTAGATGAACACTCCCCATGTCAAACCTTGTACAACCAATAACAGAACAAGTAATAATCACATGCCTCATGCATATGAAAAACAACAAAGCTAGGGGTCCAGATGATATACCAATAGAAAGCCTTAAAGCACTAGGAGATGATGGAATACATCTTACAAATCTGTAGAGCTATATAGTTTCTATCTTCAAAAATAAAGGGGATCCACACAATTGTCAAAATTAGATGTCACACTGTCTTAAAATCTATGAAAAAATAATAGAAAGGTTAAGAGACATAATCGAAATAAGAGACTCAGTTTGGCTTTATGCCTGGAAGATTAACAACTGATGCTATCCACACAATTAGGCAAATGAATGAAAAATACAGGGAAAAGAACAAAAAGCTTCACATGGACTTTCTCGATCTAGAAAAGGCCTTCGATAGAATCCCAAGAAAACTTATCTGGAGGGCGCTACACCACAAAAATGGTCCGTAGCACAACTGGTACTTCAGCAGGTTTCACAATAGCCGTGGGAGTTCATCAAGGGTTCTCAGCTCACTTCTCTTCATTACAATAATAGATGTATTATTAGCACAATCTATACCACAAACAGACCAGTGGAATATGACATTTGCTGTTGATATTGTGATACTTGCCGAATCCAAGGATGCGAAAGAAAGATTAGTGAGTTGAATAAATATCCTAGAAAAGCATGGACTAAAAGTAAATAGAGAAAAGACAGAGTATATGGTGATAGGAGGAGATGAAACAGAGAGCATTGATATAAATGAATGCCAGATATTGGCAATTGAAAGCTGAAAATATTTGGGCTCCATAATACAAACAAACGGCACAATGAAGAAAGAGATAGAGTAAAATTAATCAAGGGAGTGTTCTTTGACAAAAGAATCCCACACAAATTGAAGAGAAAAATTTATAGTTCCATAGTACAGCCAACTATTCTATACCTATATAGTTCGGAAACATGGCCAACCAAAGAATCAGACGAAAGAAGTCTACAAACTATGGAGATGAGAATGCTGAGGATGATTGCTGGGGTAACAAGAACGAATAAGGTGCGAAGTACAAGAATACTAAGAAGTTTAAAGATAGTGCCCATTAAGACTAAGATAATGGTAAACAGACTTAGGTGGTATGGGCACACAATGAGAAGGCCTATGAACTACATAGGAAATAAGGTAGAGAGTTTGGAAGTGATAGGTAAACGTAAAAGAGGAAGGCCAAAACTTCAATTTAGAGCCAATATGAAGAAGTATAAATGAGATAAACGAGATGGTATGAATAACATAAAGTGGAGAGAGATATTGAAGGAGCTTACCACCAGAAAAGGTGAAAGCTAAAGAGAAAAAAAAATCTATTCCAATATAGAATCCTGCTAAGGATAAATTTTTTGTCTGACCAATCCAAATATTTTTTGCCTAAGTCCAATCAAAAATATAATTTTAAAAATAGGATAGAATCTGATTTCATTGGACTACTAAAAATATATATTCCAACAAAAGAACATTATGGTGGGGTTAAAATATTAAAAATTGGTGCTATTCTTTAGTAAAAAAATTTATAAAAAAGGAAAATAAAATTTTGTCAAGATCCCAAATCTGGCATAAATAAAATTTAGTGTAAAGATCTGAATTCAACCAGCAAAAAAATATCTGACCATGTCCAGCCAACTACTGTTTTGCTAGACCAGGAAAAGTCTGTATGAGTCCAAACAATTCATCAGATTTGATTCATCTGTGCAGAACTGGTTTCAAAATATATCAAACATTAAAATTAATGTGACAAAAACTGATGAGTCTGTCATTATATTTTGTAAATAGAGTAGCCTTATAAAACAGCTCAATTTTTAAAAAATGGCTAACTAAATATTATAGCCAAAAAAATATATTGTTTAAGTCTTAAGATTATTGATATCCATTGAGCCATCATCTATGAGCACAACCTTTAGGCTTGCATATTTTTCTGGAAAAAACTTGAGTTAGCCATTTTTAAAAATCAAATCGAGCCATTTAACAATACTATAGTTGAATATTACCAAATATTAATTTTTTTAATTAACTGGCCATATATTTTCAACAGTATACTCAATATTAAATTAATCTAGAGAGATTATTTTTATGTATGGCAACTCCTTTTTTTTATTAATTTCATATATTTTAAACAAAAATTTCCATTTTTCAAAAATGTTTTATATATTTTTTTAAATATTAAGAAATCAGCTATTTTTAAAAAATCAGCCAGATTCAAAGAAGAACGATCTGGGCTTGATATCAGATCAAGCATATATCTTTAATGCATATTGTGGGAAGGATAAAATTAATAAATGAGTGGAAGAAATGGTCAACATCAGAAAATATGATCTGAAAGTAAATGTTAAAAATTATATTTAATTATTGTATATTAAGTCATCCAAGTGGATTTATAACATCAGTATTAAATGTCTCATTTTAAATATAAATGTGAAGATAGAGACCAAAATTAAGGTTGACTAAGGCAAAAAGCAAAAGAAATAAGAGTTCAGGTATAAAACAATATAAATTTAAGTTTTATATGTAAAGTCAAGATTTATGTAAAATTGAGGAAGCCCAGTAGTATACATATTATATTTTATTTGCCAAAGGATTAATAACAAGTTGACACTTCATATGATGGTTTCTTAAATAAAATTAATTTATCACAAAGATAATCTCAAAATGAAAAAAGAACTGTGCACCTATTTACTGATAACAAATTAATCTAAAATCAGATTATATCAAGCATTTTAAAATAAGATGATAGATTTTATATCATTCAATATGTAATATAAAAGGAATATTAAGTAATAAACCTTCAATGTGATTTAAGCATGTTTAAGTAGAAGATAAAAATAATATATATTAAAATGATTATTATTTTTACGGATTCATTGATTTGATTAGAAAATTTATTGGCAATTATTGCGGAAGTTGAAACAAAAGGTGATATAGGAATGTCTTTAAGAATTTCAGATTTTGCCCTTATTTCTGCCATTAACTCAACAGTTGTTTTTAGTTTTCTTGATTTTACTATAGGGTTATGAGTGAGTGATGTAGAAGCAATTGCACCTTTAAATGAAGAACCTAAGGGATCCTGCCTAATTTTCTTCTTAATTTTTAGCAAAATTTTTGGTTGGCGATGTTCATCTGGATGGTAGCCATTGCTTTTTTGGACCAAGGTGTGTGTAGGACCATTTGTTATAGAAGTGTCACATTTAAGCTTAGATGTAGGTGATGGATGGTTTATGTAGATCTGTTCTTTATTCATTTCACACATAAATTCATTATTTTTATTTTGCAGCATAGCAGTTTTGGTTATTTCATCATTAATATTGAGTTTAATATGTCCATTTATACGTTGAGTACTTTTTGGAATTATTAAGTCAACTACATGATTTTTAGTAATTGTTTTGTTAGCACCTAGTATTGTTTCATTATTATTATCTGGCTCATGATTAGTATGTTTGTTAGCTTTCAAATGATCATCTCTCCACTTTTTGACCAAATTTTTAGCTCTCTTAGCTATGTCATTCAATATTGCATTATTTGTTTTTCCATCACTAGGAATTGTTAACTTTTTTCTAATTTCATTAATATACTTTCCTAATCTAGTTTGCTAAAATAATAATTTATGATAATTAATAATTGAGATTTATATAAAATATTATAATTAAGTTAAACTAAGTTGTTTTTATACCTCTAGATCTTCCCGGGTAATCAAAGTTTTTTCTAATTGTGATATTGTTTCAACAACTATCCCCATATCAATGATCTAAAATAATATTTACAAAAAATCTCTATATCATATGAAATATACTCAAAAACTTAAAAAAATAAAATAAGTAAGAATGACTAACATTGTTCTGTTCATCAAAAGCTTGTAGTAACTTATTTTTAATTTCAACAGGGTTACTTTTCGCTAGGTTCATTTAAACAATTGATTCTATTAAGAATTCAATATTCTTTATTACATAAGCTCTTCTCATTAGACCCTAATCTTCTATCAAATTATATGATATAAAGTATTAGGATACAATTTTACTGTTGAGAGAATGAAATAATCAGTTTACTATTATTAATAACTTTATTTTAATTTTTAAATATTAAGCTGTATAGCATAAATTTTATTTCATTTATTTTATATAATATTTTTTTGAAAAATATTAAATATCATGAATTAACGAACATGTAAAAAAATTAAATTATGAAATGTTTTTTTAAAAATGTGAAAATAAAAAGTTTTATATCCAACGCCATCTTGTTTATTTATTTTATTTTTAAAACAAAAATTTATTTTTTATTAAAATCAACAAACATGGCCGCCAAAACTATTGATTCGTTTTTATAATTTTGTTTCAATGTGTTACGTATTAAAATAATGATTTTTTTTTCAAAATTTATTATTCAAATGATTCAATACGATAATATATATTAAAAATTCAAAATATTTGAGATTGAATGGATTTACCTGTGAGAAAGAATGGATCAGAAATCAGAATATTAGCGCAAGCAATGATCGAACCGATATTATTCATCAATATGGAGAAAAATAATCTACGTCGTATTTTTAATTATTTTTATTTATTTATTTTTAGAAATATTATTTTTTTTTTTCTTAAACGAAAGAAATCATAATTTTATATTTTTGAAAAATAGAATGAAAGATGAAATTTTTTTTTAAAAAAATGAATTTATCGAAAGACTAAAAATTTTTGATTGCGTTTTCAATTAATCAAATTTTTAAAGCGGGTATTATTTATTATATTTTGGAAACCGGGCCGGGCTTGAAAACCGGATTTTTTTTATAACTAAATATTTCAATCTCGATTCGGGTTTTTTTTAAATATTTTATTTTTCTTTAATACCCGTCCGTTAACTTTACCGATTTTGCACGGATTAAACTCCTTCGTATCATACTTGTTAAAGGTATAAAAATGTGGTATCTGTATCTAGATACTCTTTTATAAAAAGTATCTAGATACTATTTTATAGAAAGTATCTAGATACTATTTTAGAGGATCTGTCTGTTTTCAGATACATTTTGATTTGCTTTTTTATATTAAAACATAAATATTTGAATGCAAAATTCATTTTATGTCATATGAGCATACAATTTAAATCAAAGACCTGCAACCCTGGAACCAGATATATGGGCCGGGCCATATTTTAATTTTCTTTAATAAAAATACCCAGACCGTGCCATGTATTTTTAATCGCCATTATTAGCTAGAAAAATTAAAAATAAAGGAAATATATTTTTAAAAAACCCGAATCGAAAAAAAATTACTGATGTTCACCGGCAAAACTATTGTTGGGCCGTAATATAAAAACTGGATTAAAATAGATTACATCCAAATGGTAAGGATGAGATGGGACAATCTAAGATACAAGGCAGCTCATGATGAACACATTCAAATGAGGGAATTCGAGGTTTTATAACCTGTATGGGTAATGGAATCAATTCAGGGTGAAGAGAAGGAATTATAAAATTCAGAGCTATAGTTATTCATATTCGGTAGAAAGTAAGGATAGAACGATACGAAAGCATGCTGATCAACTTCGAAAAAGGGATATAATAGCTTTAAAAAAATGGAGAAGTAAGGGAGAGTGAAAGAAAATGTGGAGTCGGAAATAGTGGAAAAATTGGAAAATGCTGAAGGGCCTCCTATAGAGGGATAAAACGGCGAAACTGAAAAGATTGACTAAAATTCGGGTTCTCAGGATATGTCTTTATTACCTCGAGAACTAGAAACAAAAATGAGGCAGAAATTATAACAATCGAGGAAGCCTATGCATCGTCTGATTGAGGAGTTTTTAATTGTGGTGAAATGTCATTATATTTCATACATTTTATATTACAGTTTATTTGGACTATTTTATTCATGATTATCAGATATACATGATTGACGTTTGTAATATGATTCGTGATTGATGATCTTTATATTTATAAATGTTTTTTGCAACCCAAAACAAAATGATGACCAATATTGATATATAGGAATTAACTAAACTAATAATTGCCTTATTTAATGTTCAAATTTGACTTTACTGGGTTAAGACGCGTAATATTTTTCTGGCCAAAATGTTGAGTTAGCGGGTTTTTAAGGCCCAAATCGAGGCGTTTAACAACAAATAGTAAAAAATATATTTCTAATCATATTTGAAATAACTTTTATTAATATTGCAATTACAATGGGTAATATTGGTACCAAGTAAGTGTTGAGCTTAAGAGCTATTTTTCGACTCTCAAATTTTTATTAATACCACTGAACAAATATATGTGAAAACTTTTTTAAAAAATGTCTTAATTAATTTAATGCAACATAGTGCAGAAATTGGTATACAATATAAAATCAAGTAGAAATAAAAATTAGATATTTTGTTAGGAACGCGTTTCGGAACGCTCCAACACATGAAGCGGAACATTTTTAGTCGGAACTGGAAGGTAACCCTTTGTTCCGGGTAACTGAAATAATTTAAGATTTAGTTCAAAAGTTCAGGGCAGAATTTTCTGAAATTATGCTGGAATACATTTCCGATAAATTCAAATTAAAAAATAGGTCCGAGTTAGCATGCCAAGTCTACGAATTCAGCCCAAGATTTGATCCTGATCTAAATCCGGCCCGGGCTTGGAATTTTTAAATAAATTTAATATCGGACCGGTTCATAAAATATGAAATTAAAATAAGGAATTTCTCCCATTTTTAAATATAAATTCTAATCGATAATTGAGAATATTCTCTGGAAACAGTGGTTTTTATTTTATACGATTATTTATAATGGTGTGTTTAATAGTATACTCATAAATTGAGCAGAAACGTTTATTTTTATGTTTTACCTTTAAAAAAAAACTCTTTGTTGTATAAATTGAAAAATTTGCTCGTTGTCATACATTATTTTTGAAATAAAACGCAGAACAAAAACGCTCCAATTTTTTTAATCAATTAAAATTTTCAGATCAAAACCACGATATCACGCTTTGAACTTGAAGTGAGCCTTGCTTCGTAAACGCGATTTCTGAAACTTATTCTAAATGATTAAAGTGGTATTACTTAAATTAGTATACATTTTATTGCTACTTTTTTTGGTAGATGATTTAAAAATTTTTTAAAAAAAAAAGAATTGCTAAAATTGGGATCATGCTAGAATTGAAAATTATTGAAAGCCCTGAAATTTTGATGTGCCAATATTAAATTACTGATTAGCACCTACTAATTCATTAATCGATTTTTTTTTTCAGCAATAAACAGAATAACTAGTATATATATATATACATTTTAGCTTAACGGTTCCCATTAATCCACTAGGTAAGCAGTATTTAAAAAAAAGTTTTTTGGTAAAAAATTTTCATAATTGCTATCAAGATTCAACAAGATAGAACGAAAAATATAAAAGCTCTAAGGGCATGTGCTGGGTTGACTAATTGCTATTGGCTAAATATAGAACGCCTATTTAAGTTTGTTTTAAGTATTTGGTGGCATTGTTATTTTTCATAATTTGGTTATGTTTTTTTTTTCTTTTTTTTTTTTAAATAAAAATTTTCTTTTGCTTTTTTTTGGCTATTTAAGTAATAAGTCGACCTAAGACATGGCCTTTAAATCTATTAATAATAAAATTTTATTATATAAAAAAATTCAACTTTTTATCATAACTTTAAAAAAATATGACATGAACAAATTTTTTTAACCCTTGGAGCACAAAGACCTTAAATTTGGTGTGAAGAAGTATTTATATCTAATCTTTTATCTATGTTCATCCTTTAACCCTTCCTGGTTTGCCATATTTCGCCAAGAAATTATATTATTTTTTTGCAGAAAAATTATTTTAAAAAAATCACCCTCTCAGTTTAATTTGCTTTTAGCAAAATATGTTAAAGCTTATTCTTTATACAAAAGTCAAAGCTATAAAATATTAAGAGGGTTGCACAATATACACCTCAAATTACTACAGTGAGGAAGTGATACATCCCCATAAGATATACCCTTATATCATTTTGAAGCACTTTCCTCCTTGTTTACCATGGTTATAAGGGTTGGAGACAATTTTCATTTTTTTATAATTATAATATTTCTTATTTTATCTTCACTTATTATTCTTTCTAAGTATCTCATATGATAATAAATTTATTTTCCTCTTTTGTTCCCTTACAGTGTCAATTTCTAAATGTATTTTCTTATCTCTTTTGTCATATCAGGATGGACAGCAAATAGAAACCCTGAAATCCGTATTTCCCATCCTCAAAGGGTTTTCTATCCTAAGATGGGAATTTTAAACTATAAATCACGGTATAACGATTTGTATAATATATATTACCTTGGGGGTAAAGTTGTTATGGGTAAAAACGGTTAAAATGTTCTATCTTATTAAAGTTGTAAAAGATAATTTTTAAACATTAGTGTCTATCCTCCCATAAAAAAAATATTTTTGAGGAATACGGAACATTAATAAATAGTTTGTGTGATATTTTGAATAAAATTCAAAAAAAAAAAGTCCCAAAAGAGGGAAGGATAATTTATATCAGAGACCTGGGCCGGGCCGTATTTTAAATTTTTTAAATATACCCGGGCCGGGCCGGACCTAAAAAAATTTTATCCGGGCCGGGCCGGGCCTAAAAAATTTTTTTTAAATATATCCGGGCCGGGCCGTGCCTAAGATTTTTAAACCCGGGCCGGGCCGGGCCTTAATATTTTTTATAAAAAATTTTACATTATGAGTTATTGGTTATAAGATTATATTATATTATAGTTATGATTAATATAATATTGGGTGATGGTTAACACTACCTAACACCCACAGATCGATCTAATTATTAATTTCCTGAAAGATACCGGAAAACTCATTTTAAATTACTTAATATATTTTAATATCTAAAATTTCAGTGCTCCCAAATTGTGTTAGAAAACTTAGAAGTTAGACTTAGAACAGTATGTATAATTATTATAAATATATTTTAAATTACTTAATATATGTTATTATCTAGAATTGCAGTGCTTCACTAAT